GAACAGACAAGAATACATTTGAAATTCTCAAAATTATGCACTGCATGCACGATGTAAGTATGTAGCAGATGGATCAAACTAAGTTTGGTGCTGGGAGTTATCTGCTCTGCCAGGGATGAAGAGTTGTAGAGGGTTATTGCTTCGAAATGTTTTTCTTTTTATAGTTATGTACACATGACAAATAAATAAAGCCTTTGAATTTTTGAAAAAAGTGGGTGTGGAGTCTCTCCAGTTCCTAGAATGCACTATCTTCCATGAGCTGAAACTAACATAAAATTAATATTAATGGATGCCAAGCATAGACTGTTTTTCCTAAGCCACTCCGCCTTATGTCCTATACCATTAGATATATTTGTAGGGGCACTGACATGATATGTTCACTTCCTATTCTTAAATACACTTGCAACAAATCTATGTTTCTTTGATACAAAACACTTAAGTACAACTGTATACATCAAATGAATTGTTAAGCCTTCTTCATTGCCTATTTTGCCTTGCATTGTGCCTTTTAGATAGCTATTTTTTTTCTTTTATTATCCTGAATTTTGAATCAATTTTGTACTCAATGTCTATTCTATGCAAATGTTATGTATATTTGTATGTCTTTTAACCCTTTCATTATGTGACATCTATTTTATTGTTAACTGTATTTTATGTGACATCCATTTTCTTAAACTCTATCTTATGAAACTGTGCTATACTTCTGAACTTTAATCATATCCTCCAAATAAATACACACAAACACACACAAATTGGTGAAACAGACAAGATGATAACATATCATTTTTTTAGGTAAGCATTTTCTCATCTATCATACATACATTTGGAAAGGATTCAAGTTTATGTTATAAGTATTATACTATTTGCATAATTAAATTCCAGTGGGGATTAAGAAATATATTTTCAAACTCATGTAGTCCAAACATTTGCAATAATTCCCAAATTCAACACGTTATTATGGGTTATTACACAGTTTAGTAATGAATACTCGATTCTGATTGGTCAATTTGGTCTTTTTCACAGAGGCATTTCAGAGGTTATTAAGACCGATGTTGAAATAATTGGTCTTCTTTCCATTTCATTATTTCACTTATTTATAAGATAAGAATTACTTTATGAATCCCAACAACAGCCTCTGATTGGTCAACATACTTCATGTTTATAATCTCTATCTAACTCCTAGAAGATCTAAATCTACTTCCATCATGGATAAATGTTCATAAAAGACATCCATTATTTTTGTATAAGCTTCTTGAAAAAACATCGTTTCTCTAGAGTAGATTACAAATCGCCTGAATATGGTACAAACAAGCAGAAAAGTGTAAGATGAAGGTGTGGCGCTGGGCAATATTCTGTATCTGAAAGTGAATCGTAAACTCATTCCGTTACGGAGATATTCCCGCGAGAGTGCGGACAACTTTTAATTGCACTTGTTGCGCCCTGGGCAATATCTGCATATAACAAGGCAAAACTACAATACAAGGCATAATCAAAAATAAGAGGTGAATTGTTGTACAGTTATATTCAAGTTATTTAACTTCTTAACAACCCTGGATGCCTTGATCGATCAAATGAACGCCTGAGACAACGTGAAGGTGTCATTTTCTGCTATAGAATCCATTGCTGAAAGCATGGACTTCAGGCGATCTGGAAGAAGCATTTGACAAGATGCCGACGAAAGGGTCGTTGTTGTTGAGAGTTTACAAATCTTTATGGACCCACTATTGATGATATTGCACATGCATGAAGTTATATATTTAGCCTAATTTGGTCGGATTATAAGTTTTTGATGAATTGATTGGCTATGTAGCCTATACAAACTAGCTTACAAATAACACAACCCAATGATGTCCCAAACCAGGCAAAGTAATTATTACAGTGAGAATTTTGTCATTTTTAGCAATTAGCCTTGCTAAATAAGCATTGAAAAGTCTATCATTATTCGTTCTATTTTTGCAACGGACCCTCAATTCAGTTCGGCAAAGCGTGGCGTCACCCCATTAAAATGAATGGGAAGCATCAACGCCACGAAATGCGCAGTCTTTTCTGAACGATCACGCAGATTCAAATTAAGATACAATTAAGTATATGATTCACATCAGATCTTTTATGGGCACAGCCCAGAAACACACAACAAAACGACAACATCTTAACAGTAAAACAAAGTAAGATTTGCTACTTGGTTTTAATTTTCTTGTTTGTTATATCCTTTTAAATACCAGAAAACCAAAAAGATACTTCCTTAACAATGTTACAGCCCGCAAAACCCTGAAGAAAATCCCCCAATTTATTTTGTTCATTTTTTTGTCTTTGCAAAAACAAATACCTTTGTCTATGTCAATGGTAATATGTCAACCAGGGTATTGATGTAATGGTTGTGTAATGTATTTGCATATGCTAGCTATTTATTTTACATATAGATATTATTGCTGTCATCATTAACTCTTCTTCCTTTTGAATTTCTATAGGGTTATATCATTCAAGTTATTTGGGGTGAGTTACTTAATCATTCAACTGTCTGTCACACGTATGAATACAATATATATATTGTACAACTATGTTATTGACCATTACTTTTTTTATCTGTGATTCCAATAGAACAAAACGAAAGACATTTTGACAGAAGAAATTGTTGCAAAAGTGAAAGCCCTAGAAAAGAATAAAGAAACATCTTTACATACACAATTCTTCTGGGGCACTCTATGCACTCAACTTGGAATTCCTGTCAACACAAACAACCAGAAAAGATTGAGCAGACAATTAAAAAAGGTAAGTACTTAGTCATTGATTATCAAAATAAAAATAAAACTAGATTTAAGAAGTTTAAAGTTTATATTTCAATGTACTTTCTTACATTTAACAAGTGTATACGTCTCCCGATCTTGCACAGGTTTGTATGTTTTGAAATACGAAATATACTCTCCTATTACATTTGTGCATATATGACAATCATGAGTACATACAATGTTGAAATGAACCAAGGACAACAGCATTTGAAAGCCCAGCCGGACTATGTTTAACTCAGTATAGTGAGCTAAGCCCTCAGTGAAGTTGCTTAGATGAATTAAAAAGACCTACAAATAAAAAGATGTTGGAGGTGGAGTTATGCTTGACTGGCTTCATTTGAAAAACACCTGTTATGACCTAGCATTGCATTGTTTTAATGTATACTTCAAATAACAGTGACTTTGTTCAGACCAAAAGCATCCAAAAACAGAGGAATATAATTGACACATTACACATTGGTGCATAAATACAAATTGGAAAAAGTACAGTCTATATTCGAAAATTGTTTCTATACTTAATCCTTTTCACAGTTAACACACAGTGTGTTTTTCCCCCCAATTTGCCCATTTTGTGGGTGGTATCTTGCTGTCTTCCATGATCAGTAATTACAATGACATGCAATAAAAGTAGTATTATTGTGTACTTGTGCATGCTGCATTTTGCGATGTATAAGCATTCAACAGCAACTGAGGATGTTGGTCTATAGTTCTTCAGGTTTGTTTTAAACAGACAAATATAAAGAAGCTTGAAAAGAGAAATAACAGTGTGACACATGTCCAAAATGAACACACCAGCAACTACAATGTCAACGTTAAAATTGAAATTAAATGATTAGAAGTGGACTTATCATTTAGGACATGTGTCATTATCATTCAGCAATTCCTCAGATATTTAAAAGAAAATTAAACAGGGGATGTGACCATAGGATGTGACACAAGCTCAGGTTACGCATACATATGATTGCCAAGTAAATAATGAAATTGATCATTTCGCATTTTATTAGATTTGTATTCATCTATTTATTTTCAATTTTATTTATCGCATTTTCAATACTACATACATGATCAGTTCTAAATCACGTCTTTTTAAAATCTTAATTTGGTTTGGGATTTTAATTAACTTTATCATAATGTTCACTTTTAAACATTTTATTCTTTAATATTGTATTAAGGTTGGATTTTGATTATATTGATATATATTAAACTTAAATCTTATCACGTGGTTGTCTTTCTTTCAAAGCACAAACAAGATGTCACAGATGTAACGCAGCTGACCCTGGACAGTGGAAGCTCGCACGAGGGAGACTATACATCTGACGAAGTTAGTCATTACTGATTATTTAGTCCCTTTACATGTGTTGTGCCCCGTAGTAAATCTACAGTAGTAGTTTATAATTATATTTCTATGTGTCAATGTATACTTCCTGAAATATAAAAAACACAAGGAGACAATAAAAGTTATTGTACAATTACGCTACATGACTTTGAGCTGCAGGTCATGTCATAACACACTTGGAAGACTGCATAATTAAAGGACACAAGTCATTTATCAATTCAACACAACTAAATGTTTATATTTTTAAAATTGTGTCTTCATGGAAAAACAATAACATTTTGTGTTTTGATTAGGGCACCATGAGCGACAACACTGAGCAAGACGGGTTTATAAAGATCCGAGTACCTCAGAAACCGACCTACTTTTTACTTGAGAAGAATGAATGGAAAGCCATCAAAACAAGAAGACATCAAAGGGGTTTCAAAGGATTGCAGTGGACCAATATCATATCCAAAGGAATTAGGACCATCCATCCTCACTGCTCAATCGCTTTTAAAAGACATAGACTGAAAACTCCAGGGTCCAAAAAACCAAGCCCGGAATTCTGGTGTTTTGGTTACTGCCGATTTGAGGCCTGCCCAGTCACTGTCACTGTGACTGTAAATAATGAGGAGGACCTCAAGGCAACAGTGGAGTTTAAAGGGGACATGACCTTACACAATCTGACTGAATTGAAAAGACGACCTGTAAGAGCGGATGACAGGAAAGTGTTGGGAAACATTTTGCAACATAAATTACCCAGAGCCATGTATCTGGACAAATTAAATCAAATTGATGAGGACGTCATGGACTCTGGCTGCAGAGATGAAGCTCCTACTCCTCAGGTGCTGAAAAATATTTCATGGGAGGTACGGCAGCAAAGTCGTCCGCACAGCAATGAAATCCTCAGTCTACAAATGATGCTGGAAAATAAAAAGAACAATCCAGATGAGGTCCTCCAGAAGGTGTTTGTGCACCCAAAAGGTGTTTTACTGTGGTCAATAAGGAGCATAGAAATATTCCAGGAAAGATGCAAAGAGGACATTGTTTATTTGGATGCCACAGGCAGCATAAAAAAGAAAGAGAAGGGCTCTCCTCCTTTCTATGTATATGAGCTGGTCGTCAGGAATCCCCAGAAGGGCTCCCCTCCCTTTCCAGTTGCTACGTATCTGACATGTGATCACACCACGGCCTCGGTTACCTATTTCCTTGAGGCATTTCTAACAGACGTAGCAAGGATTTACGGACGGGAAGCCATGCGGTCTCCCATTATGCTTGTCTGTGATGGGTCGATGGTACTGATGCAGGCAATCTGTTTTTCCTTTGCAAAGAAAAATCTGCATGACACTATCAACTGCTACTATCAGATTGCCAGTGGGAAAGCAACAAAAGCTGACTTTAAGGTGCCTGTTTTGCATCGCTGCCTGAGTCACATCATGAAGAACGCCAAGGAAATGTGTAAAAAATAGTAAGCATACCGTATTTTTACTATAACATGTGTTAAGTTTAGTTAAGAAACAATATTATGGGTGGCATTTTACTTCCTTACTTTACACACACCTCAGGTGGTTACTATCAAAGTGGCAATAGGATTCTGCTCTGCCTGTTGCAAAGGATGATGTTTTACTCGGTGAACTTCCACTAAATCTGCACGTCTTACATGAAAGGCACATAGGGTTAAGAAAACACACACATATTAATGATGTAGTGTGGGTAAACATCATCTGGTTAGATGTACATATTTCCTTTCAATACTTTATTGAAATATTGAACCTAATTCATGTTTTATATCCTGCAGTGCACCAAAGAACTACCATCTGGCCATGCATGTGTTTGGTCTCCTCACAACTGTAAGTAGCTTGGAAGACCTTGAAGACATGGTGCAAAGTACAGCAGTGGTGTTTTCAAGTCCGTCCAGTGGGGCGAATGTTTCCAAACATTTTAACAACCTCCAGTCATGGCTGTTAAAGAAAGGACTTCAGTTGGATGACACCGTCATCTCTGAAAGAAAACCTGGAAACTTAGAGGTAAATGCAATTTGTGTTTGTGTCAAAAAGATTTTCATCTATATTTAACAATTTGGCAGACTTTTTATATCTGAAGTGACCTACACTTACAACAAAAGTTACAAAAACATAATAAGTGCTCCAAAGCTAAGTACAGGTCCAAAAGTAAATGGGTGCTATATAAGTGTAGTTGTTGAAAAACAATTATAATAATTTCAAGAAGTAGTCAAAAGTGCTAGTAAACGATCGAGGTAGAGCATACTATAACAACCAATAGCAATATTGAGATAAAAAAAAAAATGAAAAGCAAAAAAAAAAAAAGTTTAATCGAAATAAAACAAAACATTAACAATGATAGAAGTAATGTCAACCAGAATAAGATAAATTAAAAAGAACGGTCTTTATTTTATTTATAACATTTCAAATGGAGTTCTAAGATCCACTGAAAGAGTGTTCTAGAGTTAACAGTTCTAAAAACACAAACCAGACTCAACAGAGGTCTTAAGGAATACTTGAGGAAATTCTAACAGAATAGCTCTGGGAAAATTGAGAGCTATTGTTGGAACAAAGAATGAGAGGCTGTCTATAGGGATGAAGACCCTCTTATCCATTTTATGTTTCTGGAATATTAAAGTAGAAACATAATGTTATAGTTATTATTATTTTATTTGTTTTATTGTGTAGGATAAATCGGTAGCCACTGAGCTAGGTGGGGACTTAAATGATCAGTACACGGCACTAATCACACGTTTCCAATTTAATAAAGGAAATCAAAGGAAGGAACAACTTTGGGAAAAGATACAGCAAAGTCATTTCCAAAGCTCCACTTGACAACAGTGGTGATCCCAACAGCTACTACTGTAAAGGCCTTGTGGGTCACATCAACCAGTACCTTCTTCCCTATGCTGGATTGTGGAGCGGGATAATGCTTGGTCAGTGCTACTTACAAAATTGACATATTTGTCTTTGTAATGTTACTGTGCTTGGCTGTGTATTCGGAAAATAACAACAGTTATTATCTTTAATTTAAACATAAAGGTGACCTGGGACGACATGGGACTGGAAAAGCCTATGAGGACTACAGCAGAAGATACAATGTGTTGAAAAACAAGAAAACACAAGTAATTGAATTGTCTGAAGTGTATTTGTAAGCAAATAATAAATATATTGTGTTTTACTGCTAATTTATCGTATTAATTGTGTAATTGTTTTTCTCAGAACATAACGGAGGACAACAAAACACAAGGCATCATGGAGAAGAGCCAATGGGATTTAAAACATATCCGCATATCACGCAGCCTCACCAGAATGGATGACTTTGTTGTCCAATACCAAGAAAAACACAGTGCTATGCTGAAGGAGTATGCAGACTTTCGAAAAGAAAGGTTTGCACATTTCATTAATCATGCCGTGGTAAATATGAGAGCCAACATTTTAATCAGCCATGGTCAATTGTAATATGTGGTTGATTTTCGAATTAATTTCAAGTGTGGATGATAGGATTTAATTATGTAACACATATTTAATTTGTATTAATTAATATACAGTCCTTTATGAGTATTACATCTTATAATAAATGTCCATTGTTATTCATGGAAAACTATATAAAATAACCAAATTAGATTAACGTGATAAATGAATAAAAACAACATTCATTTCTCAGTACATGCATTGATGTTTAAAAAGATACAACTGAGCAAGAACAACAAATGCTTTTTCCATAACTGGTCTGAAAAAAAAATTACAATTATAAATAAATTCTTACATCTATAACTCTTTCTTATGCAGACATTCAGAGTGTTGGTGGAGAAATGGAAGGAACGCAAGCCAAAGAAAAAGGGGCGTTATGTCACTGCAATCCGCAAGCCGTTCCCGTTCAAAAGTTTGGCCAAGAAGGTAAAACGAGATTTAATTTTGAGATTAGATTTCTATTTGAACTGTTAAGCACCTTTTTCATCTTCCATTACTTCAGTGTATTTCCATCACATGCTGTCTCCTCAAATCAATATTTTCAAAATGTATTATTAGAAAAGTAATTTTAAAACATTTAATCAGAAAAGGAATGAAATGCGACAGGATAAAGTCACGACATAACAGACAGAAACCCCTATTAAAAGAGGATAGTTAATAATGTTATTTTTGTACCCATACTGTCAACAGGTAGATTCCTCAGTGAATGAGGATGTCTTGGAAACACCCAGTGATATCTCTGCCCAGAAGCAAAGTTCCTCCATGCAGGGGGACCACAACAGTTTGTCTTCAAATGTATATTCAATGGAATAATGAACAGAATATATTAGAAAATAAAATAATAAAGAGAGATTATTTCTTTACATATTGAGTCTGTTGTTTTTAACTAGTTATGTTTTGTGTTTTGTTCACATTTATGACCTGCAGCTCACCTCATTATGGAAGAAGAACGACACAGAGGTTGTGGTTTCCATTCTCCCCTCCCAGACAAAAGGAAATGATATCATTATCCACCACAGTGAGCTACGCACGCTTCGACCTCACGAGTGGCTAGCAGGGGAGGTATAGTTATCATTTTCATCTCTTTAAACTGCAAAATCGAAACATAAATCAGTGTTGTATCATGTAATGTGAGGCGTGTGGCGCAGAGGATAGAGCCTTGGTGTTGGGATCAGGGGTTCAAACCCCACTGCAGTCAGCATGTCGTTGCCCACATTATTGAAGTCAGTCGCTTTGGATAAAAGCGTCTAACAAGTGACATGTAATGTAATGTAATTATTATTGTATTACCTTGAGGATAACATCTATAATTTTAGCTGTTAAAAAAATTGACATTGTATTGAATACACAGTTATTTAAAATCAGGAATAACTTTGTCAATGATTCATCATCAATAACTACTTTTTTTAATAACTGTTATGGGATTTTGTAGTAGAAGATGTAACTTAAAAATGTATTTGTCAACTATCAGTTAGTTCTTCATTTGTTTCCTGGTAATGTTCCTCTTATTTTTGTTTAACCTTATTGTAAAGTGTTAAATAATTCAACAATCTAATACATTGATTTTAAATGTACATGACCAAAATGAAAATGTATTTCCTTACATTTCATTGATCTAGATAATGGAAGGTCTGTTGCAAATGGCTGCAAGCGAACAGGACAGGGGTAATACCATCTATATTATGAACCCCTACACAGCACAAGTGATACTGTTTGGGGGAAATCACCAGGTGTTACGGACCAGTTTGTGAAAGGTAATCTTTGAAAATGTGCCTGGACTGAAGATGCTATTTTGTATGTGTGTTTGTCTGTATGCGCGATTCATACTTGCTTCATATGTTTGTATTGAACACTTGATTGAATTGTTCATGCTTCATTCAAAATAAATGGAACATTTAGAAAAGTGTTATCATATTTAATAATGCTTCATTCTGCAAATGTAATTTATATCATTATTCTTTCACAGGTGAACTTTGACAACTACCAGGCCATTGTTTCATTTGTAAATATCAACAATGCGCACTGGAAGTTACTGGTTAGTATCATTATCATTCCAATATACACACATTACATGTTTCAAATATATAGCTTATAATTGTTCTATTAAACTACCTATTTTTCATTTACAGTACATAAATGCAGTCAACTCCACAGTTTTCCTGGTGGATCCTGCAGGATCTTCCACAGAGGATGCAGATTCGATAAGTGCAGCAGAAAAAACCGGGTATCTATTAATGAAATTCTATAGGACTTAATTCCTTTGATCCTGAAATGATGCATATGTGCACAAGAAAGGTTTTCATGCACCTGCAAGGTATAACCGGTAGCAAGCTTTGATTTTGTCATTCCTCAATCCACAATTAAAGCTGCATTAAAATAAGAAAATGTATATAGTAGAGGTAAAAGTAAAAAAGGAAGTAGTAATTGATTGTGATTGTAATATTGGGAAAAAGAGAAGGTTACTTTTTGGGCATACATTTAGGAATGATCTTAGATAATGTGGGTGCTAACAGATGTCTTTAATTAAATATCATTACAATTATTTTGGTTTTGAATCTGTAGCACATTTTTGCTGCTTTTTCCCCACTTTAAATAACTTCAATCATAAATCACATACAGTGAGTTTTTCAAAATGAGGAGGACATCGAATGGAAACACTAAGTGGGATGACATTCAGTGGAAAGGAGGAGTCCTGGAACATCCAACTCAGCAAGATGGAAATAGCTGTGGGGTTATTGTCGTCATGGTAAGTGCCTTCTAAGTTAAAGTAATCAAATAATTATGATATTCTGAAGTGGGTTTGATTTCTGTGAATTAAATCCATCTGTTCTTTAAATACATTTATACCTGTGCAATTATAGTTGACGATAAAAATAGGACAAAGAAATTGTTCAAAATAATTGAGCAAGAGTTTCTTTGAGTTGTTTATTTAAGCTTTAGAACATCTGCACTGTGCAAGAATCAGACCCATATGATATTGTGAATGCTTTTGTCATTTAGATGGCCAGGGCAGTGATGGCGGCATTTCCAGCTGTTCCAAAAATCGTTTTTGGAACATCAAAAAGGGAAATGAAAGAGGAGAGAAAAAACATGGCTCTCCGGATACTGAGGGCATCAGGTTTGTAGAGAAAGTTTTTGTCTGTATTGTTGAGGAATAAGAACAGAAAGATTTACACACAGGTAAACCACTCTGTCATTTTTATTTACAAGGAATTGTTGTAAAATAAAGTTAGGTTTATTAACCCAAAACATTTCCACAGTATAACATGCAAAGTATATCAACATAAAGTCACAGCTCTACTGGCAGCAGCTTCCAAAAAAAGGTCACTCTGGGGCCAACAGGTCCTCTCAGGACCCTGTCTACTGCAAGAGACAAGAACCAGGTTACCAACATACTTTAATTTTGTGACTGATTACCTGATCCTTGTCCGGCTGTCTGGTCTCCAGCTGAGTCACTCCCATCTCACCCAAGCAGCCGGTGCTCTACCCATACCCCACTACCACAACTATACTTAGTGATCTAAGTGAATTATGGCAGGTGATCAGGTAATTTTGAAAGCTAATCGATAATTACGCAGGGATCAGTGCAGAGGCAGATATGAGACATTTGTGGACAGAAGACAGACAATTGAGAAACCAGATCTTTGGTTTTGGGCAGGAGGGGGGATCTGTATTGTGATTGCCAGTACAACCACACAGAAAAACCGAGAGATAAATGAAGGGAATGGCAAATAGAAAGTGGACCTGAATAGTGTCTGGTGGAGATTTTAACACAGCTTACCATAACAGTAATTCACACAACAAATAGTGCCTTTTTAAAGTGCTGTTTACCTCAACAACGTAAAATGCTGCGTTTGTAAATTGTTAAAACAATACATATAAAAATATGTTCTTAAGAAACTCATGCAGTCCTAGCACTTCGCAATGACATGACATTATGTATGATAAGTTGTCTCAACACTGAATTTCACACTAAATAGCTGATGTCACCAATTCAAATTGTTTTTACATTTTAGTGTTCAATCTGGAAAACAATTGTGCCATGTGTTCGATGGCAAAGCCACCTGGAGATGGGCCTCCAATGACAAATTGGGTGAGTAAACTGAATTATTGAACAAAAAATAAATAAATAGTTATTATTACTAAAGGTTACATAAAAACTGATGTTGAAGTTAGTCATTGGAAACCATTTGTTCCATAATAGTGACAGGTCAACATTTGAGAGAGTATACTGAAAATCAGGTTTTAGATTTCCACCTTGTCATTTTGTAGATTCAATGTGACACATGTTCGAGATGGTTCCATGAAAGATGTCTTGCCATGGACACGCAAGAACTGGTAGAAGCCAGGGCAGCAGCATGGGATTGCTGTTTGTGCCCTTGAAAAAAACTGATTGTCCCGCAAAGTCCCTGCAGCCAACCTCGATGGGCATACAGTTATTTCAGTGTTATTTTTTTTTATACTTTAGTTATTTATATTTGCATTTTTATTTTGTAAGATTAATCTCTTAATATTTCTGTTATGTTACATTTATTTAATCATCTATTTTTCACACATTTCATTGTGTTTTTTATAATATTTTTTTAGTTCTATATTATTAAGTTATTTTATTCGTCTTTCTATCTATTCAACTTTTTTGCACTCTATTAGTAATGTTATGTTATTGTTTTTGTATTTAAAATGTTTATAAAACATATATATTTTAAAACAGTTTTCTGTTGTCTGTTTTTACATCATGTTTCTATGTTTCCCTCAAGTTAATTACCTGATTCTGTTTACCTGGTGCCTGTTGTGGCGATCCAGAATAACACAACATGAAAGAATGAAACAGAGAGGAATCAATAAAACACAAACACAGATATAGCTGATCAGTAATTATTATTTAGTTGTTGCAACAAACAAACAATAATGAGAAGTACATCACCTGCTGCCACAGCAGCCAATCGTGGAAATGCCCCCCAACAGTAGCAACAATCATACAGCATATATAGCCACTGCAATGAACACACACACATTTTCACTAAGCATGTTCAACGCACACACACCCTATCATGCAGCCTACCACACAAATGTCACATGTCCCTCTCTCCAGGAGCCACACCTGTATATGTTCAAACTTCATCATCTCATGACATTCACACGAGCAGTCAACACACAAAGGTTAACTGTCTCTATAACCTGAGGCCTTCTCTGGACTTCCCCCATCCTCGGTGTCAGCTCACTTAAAATGAACACATCCATTGACAACCCAGAACGACCACTGTCTCTCCAACTCTGTGACCCAACTCAGTAACACACATCATATAGCTTACATGTGATCTTTAATGAATATCATAAATAGGCTTGTATTAAACATTGCTACAACAGTGGCCATGTGTGTTTCTTACCCTCCCAGCTGTGTCTTGTCCTTGTGATTAATTTCGTCTGTATAAGTGCCTGTCTGCCCCAGTGTTTCTTCTCAGTTCGTCGTTGTTCCAGCCTATGTCTTGCCCTGCGTATTCCCTCGTGTTGTCATTGTGGATTCCTGTTTCTCGTGCCTTCCTGGTTTGTTACTTTGTTTTATTTGTGTTATATTCTAGACATAATATTTACAGTTTTCCTCAGTTGCTAACACACTAAAAGTATACATAAAGCACAATTATTTTAACTGACACTGAAAGAGCAAAACATCAGCTCAAATCTCCAAAACTAAACACGTTTTCAGCTTTTCACACAATTTGCAAATCAACACGGCACTTTTTGCAAACCACTGCACACGTTTCTCCACGTAAGACACAGGAATCTGACATGAAGTCACGTGTTAGCAGGTTTAAAACACTGATATTCAAAAAGCCTCACACATGGATCAATGATCAAGAAACACGTTCCACCTGAGCAAACACCTGATAGCATCATTGATGGCTCATCAATCAGGATGTTAGCACTATAAAAAGACCACAGGTGAGTACTTTCTTACAGCAACAATGGAAGCCAACATGGAAGCAAGAGGAAGAGGAAGAGCTGGGCTGAGAGTTGAGAGTGAGAGGAGGAGGAAGAGGTGGGGTGAGAGTGAGAGGAAGAAGAATGAGGGATAGAGGTGGAGAGAGGACGTGGACAAAGAAGAATACTCTCAAATGAAATGTTATCAATCAATCAATCAATGTTTATTTATATAGCCCAATATCAGAAATGTTACATTTGTCTCAGCAAACTATGGACGGTCTTCATAATTTGTACAGAATATCAGTATGACAATACGACACCCTCTGTCCTTAGACCCTCACATCGTACAAGGAAAAACTTCCAATATCAACCATGGTTTGACGATGAGAGAGGCTGGACAGAGGGTTCAGCCTAATCTAAGCCGATTTACTGTCGCCTCTGTAATCCGGACACTTAGACTTGAAAACAGGTTAGTTACCAGTTTATAGCTCTGCATAACTCATGATATATCAGAGCTTATATCTGTTGTGTGAAATGTATTTACTTCATTACTGTAATTGAGTTGTTGGCATGTTGCAGACTATAACTGTACAAAAATCCTGCACAATGTACTGTGGTAAACTTACCTTTATGCAACACAGACACTGACCAACACTATGTCTTTGTTGTTTATCTGAAGGACTGAGAAACAAAGAGGTGGAAGGCTAAGGATTTTCAATGAGGCAGGAAGCAGCAGTTACAAACTGGGTTTGGGCAAACAATGCCATCACACTTAGAGAGATCCGAAGCATAGTAACTATGTGCTGAGATG